GGGAATGGGGGCGGCGGGGCGCCGGGGCGCCGGGACCGCGGGAGAAACGCCCTTCGACCCTGGGTGCACGCAAGGGGAACTGCGAGGGTAATCCGATGCCACAACAGCGCCCTCGCGCAGCGGGGCTCGCGTCCCGACACTGGAGTTCCCTTTCAGCACAACGCCCGAACACTGTGCATATCAGACAACTCGCCGTTCTCGCGTCCTCACGCCCGGTCGCTCGCCCCCCATACAATCAAACACCCTGAATCTCCAGCCCCTGTGAAAGACAAGCTAAGGCCAGATGCCATCTTGGTGTCCTGCAGCAAGGGCATCTTGAACGGCACCCTGGAAACCGTCGAGCAGCTGCTGCACAGGGTGCTGCCGCAGCCGGCGCACGCGCGGCTGGCGTTCCTGAGCGGACCCAGCTTCGCCAAGGAGGTGCGTGCGGGGAGCGCATGCGCGCGCGTGGCGCGGCTGTGGGCGTGCTCGCGCGTGAGGATTGTGTGTGTGTGTGTGTGTGTGTGTGTGTGTGAGTGTGAGAATGTGTGTGTGTGACTGTGTGTGTGTGTGACTGTATGCGCGTGTGTGTTTGTTGAGTGACAGCAGGCATTTAGTGCAAGGGCCGATGAATGGTATATGTAGTTTTGAGGTCGATGCAGTTAGTTTGTATCTGTGATATATCTTCTTTGCTCTCAAACCCCCACAGACAATAGAAGCTAAGTACATCTGCCAACACACCCCCCTCCCCAACCCACCGCCGCCCCCCAGGTGGCCAGGGGCCAGCCCACCATGGTCACCGTGGCGGCGCGCGACGAGGCGGTGGCTGGGCAGGTGCAGCAGCTGCTCAGCGCGCCCTTCTTCAGGTGCTACCGCACCACAGACGTCATAGGTGAGGGATCTCGCGCGCGTGCGCCCTGACTGCTGCAGTCTGGGGTGGACAGGGCCGATGCTGAGGGCGGGTTGCGCGCAGCTCCCCAGACCCCCACCCCGCCGCCGAGCGCAGGGGGGGGGGGGCGTGGCGAGCGCCTGTTGACACAGGCGG